TCGCCTTTTTTTTCTATGTTAGTAACTTTGTAGCATATTAGTTGTTTCAGAGAAGAAAGACATCAACTTATAGCAGTAAAAGTTTTCTAGTGGCAGATATATTTCCTTGCATACATGCATGCATACAATCAAAATGGTGAATGTAATTTGGAAGGCATCTTTTATCAACTAGCAAATTTTCCAAGTAAACCAGTATGGGATTAAAGCAAAATATTCTATATTGAACACAAGGTAATTAACATCAAACCCAGTGTATCTATTCTTATAATATAGATGGCCAGCACCTATTAAGCACAGGAGAAGATGCCTATTTTAAAGTAACAGATGTGCAAACTGGAATGATTATCTCTTCTGCAGCTTTAGAGCAAATTCAAAGGTAATCTCTTTTGCCAAATTTAAATTTATTATTTTTTGTTAAATTCTATACTGTGTATGAAACCGATTAGTTATTTGTTTTGAGTTTTGAAAAATGTTCATATATATTGTCTCAACATGGGACTCATAAGATGTGTCTCATAACATTACCTGGGGAGAAATTGATGAATTTTGTGATCTGGGCTTTAATGTTTGAGAAATATGAAGATGCAAAACATCTAAATTACCTCTTTATCTTGGATACATTTGATTATAGTAATGGCTTTAATTTCCCAAATTATCACCCCAAATACAAATACGTTTCAATTTTCTTAATCTGAAACCACACTTTCTTAGCAACCATCTATGTTTTATTAAGCCCTGGAAAGTGTAAGTGTTGGCCAGAGTAAAGTTATGTAACATCAAATGATAACCAATTTTGGTTTGATAAACTTATTTTTGCAGATGTTTCAAGTGGGATGGACACATAGTTTTATCAGGAAGTCAGTCAGGAGAATTGTTTGTTTGGGATATACTTGGAGGAAAAACAGTAGGAAAAATTCCAGGACATGCAGGTAAGTTTGAATATATTTTTTTAAATGTTTCTCGGTGACATTTCAAAACTCTGAAGCCTTTAAATATTAGATAAAATGCATACTCATCTTATAAATTGCTCTTGCTTTTTAAGCTAATGTATAAAATTATTGATCTTGATAACATGAAGTAAGAATTCCAAGAATTTGTATACTGTAGAAAGAAATTAAGGTCCTATTAAACCATTCAATGGAAAATCCAGAAGAATATTGGCTCATAAGGTTCATGACCTTTGTTATATACTAAAGTTTGGAATATTAAGAAATAAGCAAAACATTTTTGAAGCTATTAAACCAAGGATTGTAAACAATTCCAATCAATTGGGAAAAAATAGAGACAACTGAATCTAACTGCCCAAAAAGTTTAGTGAAATTTTAAGGATGGATATAGGAGGGACAAAAAAATATCAGTTTGACTTGAATTCATTGATAGGTTTCCCAATTCTTATGACTCTGGGCAGCCTTTAGCCTGAGTAGGTTCAGACTATTTTATGCAAACCAGGATGCATAAAAGCGTCAGTGTATAGGCTACATTACAAAGAAATACACTGTTGCCTGCATCCTATCAACTAGGAAGGAATGTGAAATTTTACCTGTGCTCAGATACTACACTCACAATCCCCAGAGCAAACAATTTTTTAAAGCACTCTTTCCTTAGAGATAGGTTTGTGTCTGTTACGTTATTGGCTAATGCACTTTACATAGTTTGAGATATTTTTATTTTAAAAAACTAACAGAAAGTGTCAGAAAACCAGAAACAATGTTGACCTCATTTTATTTTGCCTTGGCTTTGAGTGCCCTCTGAGCTTGGTTGTCTTCTTGTAGATATTTTATTAATCAAACTAGGTAATATCATCAGTGCTAGGCCGAGTGAGGTTTGCTCTCAATTTAAATTCTATTTAAACTTAAATAGTTTTAATTATTAAACTATTTTTTAAATATTAAAACAGTATCTTCCCACTGTTGATGGGAACTTGGAGGTTCTTTGGAACTTGGAGGTTCTTTGGTTGGACTCTTTACTGTTAGCTTGTTTGGCAGTCCCTTGACTGTAGTATTATTTACTTCTTGATTGTTGGTCTGATGTTAATCTTGGAGTTAATATATGCTCATCTGAGTGCTGATTACTGGTGGGGAGATGTTTTGTTTTTGTTGTTTTTGTCCCATAGTATGTAGATATTGTTTATGTCTATGTGTCCATTGATAGCTAATTTGTTAGAGTGCCAAGCTTCTAGAAACTCCCTAGCATTTTTGGACTTGGCTTGGTCTAGGTTTGTCAGTTTCCTAAATTGAAACTATGGTTAAGTCTGTCCATATGTTGTGAAATTAGTTTCACAACTTCTTCTGATTGTAGTTGAAGTTCATGAATGTATTCTGCCAGTCATTTCCTATTGGTCCTACTTAGTGGCTGTTGCAGTCATTATACTGTATGTTGTAGATGACTTCTGATGAACTGACAGCAAACCCCATTCCTTACTAGAACTAATGATGTTAGGATTAGGGTTAGTTTAAGTAATGAAACATTTGTAAAAAAAACCAAACAAACTCAAAGAGCACTAAGGACCCCTCATTTCAACCCTGTACTTCAGATATTCTCCTTTATTGGTATGTTGACTTTGCAACTCTTTTTTCAAACTCGGAGACATTGGAAGACAATCAGATCATCAGTTTTAGAACCATTCGCAAGTCATTCTTAGTTCATTGCTTACTTGAAATTCATCATTGCTTACAATTTTGAAAGTACCAATCCCAAATCAGATGCTTGGAAAGAATATCCTGCCTCGCCAATAGAGATGCATGATGTTATTTTTTACTGCTCCCTGTTTATTAATCAATAGTTTATAGAACAGATTCATGTCCCACCATTTTTAGCTTAGCCTGGAAGCTCTTGGTATATAATTTGTCATAATTAAATATGACGAATTCTATAACTTGTTTCTCAAAATGTAGATTTCATAGGTGCTGTGAGCTAACATCTTTTGTAGTTGGAATAAAGTTACAAATTGCAGTTAGCAGTTTGAGGAAAGTGGTTGCAAATGGTCAGTCTGATTGACTTGCATATGTATCTTCCTTAGGTGCTGTGACTTGTATGTGGATGAATGACCAGTGCAGCAATATAATTACTGGAGGAGAAGATAGGCAAATTGTGTTCTGGAAACAACAATACTATTAATATTTTAAACCAGAATTTTAAAAGGACTTTGCCTAAATGTAAAAATGCTTTCTATAGTTCAAACAGAACTTCTGGTCCCCTTCCCCCCCTCCATTACTGTTGTGTATTGATGAATACTCTAAAATGTTACAAATGTCTGTATGCTCTTACCTATTTACTGAAGTAATACTGTAACAGCTTGAGGTACTTGTCTTATACTCCTGTTGAAAATAAACTTATTTTTCAGTAACCAATATGTTCTAACTTGAAATCATACTACTCTATTGTTTCTTGTGTATGTTTGTCTTTACATCAATGTTGATGCCTGGTGACAGCCAGAGACAAATCCCTGCAGTTTTCTTGGCATTATTTTGCCAATACTGCAATCAGTAAATGTTATCTTTATTAGGAAATTACTGTACTGGTTTGCCATTGCCTTCTTCATGGGGCTGAGAGGAAATGATTGGTCAAAGTGAAACAGTGGGCTTTGTGCCTAAGAATCCAGAGTCTCCTGCTTTCTAACTAACAGGATTTTGTTCAGTTTCAGGTACTTGGCAGAAATATTTTCCCTAAACTTCCATCTCAATATGATCATCAGTTTGATTGCTAAATCAATAACATGACAACTTTGTATTTTAGTTGGGAAAGTCTTTTTTCTGATTTCATAAAACTGTTTGGAATAATTTAAATCAGCTGGCAGAGTTACATTATTTTTTTATTTTATTTTTATGGGCTAGCATACATTTCTTATCAAATACCTTCCCACCTTCTTACTAAGTGTTATCTATATATTGCCATGATTTTGCATTCAAATCTCTCTATCAAGTGGCAGGAAGAAGTGGAGTTTAACATTCACATCCTCATGTACTAGGTCTGACCTAGAGAGCTCATTATTTCTCCCTTATCATTTTTTTCCTATCACTGACATATGGTACCTCTGTATTTGGACTGAGGAGTATTTCATTTACTAATAAATATTTAAATGAAAACAGTCATTATCACTTAGTTAAGTCAAGTGTTGCAGTTTAATCTCTGAGAAAGTTATCCATTGTGATGGTTTATTGGCCAGACCAAAACAAGAATCCTTTTCACCCTTCTCTGCAAACCAATATAAAATGTGCTTGCATACTCCCATCAAATGCTGATCTTTCTACATACTGTAATACTTATACAGTATATACTGTTTCAACATACTATTTCAATGAATCTCCCAAACTTTTTGGGTCTACTTAGAGGTAGTAGTGGTAAATATTGTTTATTTGCAATAACATTGTTTAATGTTATCATCCAGTTCTCTTAAACCTCACCTTCTAAGGTGATCAGTTTAACCGAAAAACATGTTATTAAATTGATCATGCAAGTCATAATTCCCAATGATTCTTCATTACTATGTGCCAATAAACCATTCAACTTTTCAGATGTAATTTTATTTTAATGCAGATACAATTGCTAAGCAATTAAGAATTACATGTACTTCTCTGTATTATACCTGTGATAGAATTCACATATTACATGCCAGTATTTGTAACTTTTTTCTTCTGTCTAGCTGGCAGGGTGGGCTTATCTTCTAGCATTAAAGCTTGACATCCAACTGATAGAACATCAATAAACTGCTGATGGTTTCTAACTACAATTACTATATCGAAGGCTATCTGCTAGAGATAAATAAATTAAAAATCCTAATGACTAAGCTATTAAAATGTTACCCATGTCTAATATTTTTATTTAGGAAAATTGGTTAATGTAATAAAAGAAATACTATAGCCTACACTGATAATACTATATCAAGAGCCCATAAACCATATCATTGAGATAAAATGTTAACACTTTCACTGCTTCATTTATGATGGATTATATTGCAATCAGGAAGGATTTTGAGATTCATCAGCGCAAAATACTACCCATTTAGGAAGTGAATATATTTGCAACTTTATTTGTTTTAAGAGGATTAAGGCAACACAATATAAGCATATTAGAACAATTTTATAAGACAGCAAAAAGACAAACATTATTTTAAAATAGTTATGGAATGATAAATACAAGCTATGCTCAGTTTAACCAGCATGCTTTTTGTAAACAAGATTACTAAAATCAGTTAATTAACACTAAGTTATATTCTTACTGGTAGATGCAGTACAAAAATGAATCTGAAAAAGTACAAAGAGCAGCAGTATATCTGGATCAAAGAAAGCAAATACTAGATGCTTTCAAACATTGTTTTTTTCCATTTTTTAATGACAGAAATTATCCTGATCTATATAATACAACCCTATGAAAGAACTATATGTTTTGTCAAAGTAGCATGATGAATATACAATGCAAAATGTGAGCAAGGTTTTTCTTGAAATTCCCAGACATAATGTAATTATAAATGCTCAATGCAGCATCTCATGTCAAAGAAAGGCTCATGTGCAGAATGTAAATATTGCAAAGACATAGTAGCCATGTTTAGCAGTGTCTCAATTACAAATGCATCCAAAATGAATTTTAGACTTCAGGAATAGTATGATCCATCAAGCTTTTCATAATACTTGAAGCCATCCTAGGAAAAAAAGTTCACAATGTATTAGCCCATAATGGAATATGCATTCAAAATTTGCAGAATTACAAAAAGAATAACGCAAAATATTTGAATTATCTATAAATGAGTTAATATTAGACGGTTTGTGTAGAAGAATTGGCAGAGCTATGTGGAGGAATACAAAGACAGATCAGTTTAGAGTTCTACTGCGCCACAAACCAAGTCGTTGACACTTATCTAATGCTAATCAGATTCTGACCATGTTTGAAAATATTCCTGTGCAATCAGTTAATTTTGGACCTTTGCACATAGACCTGTTTTTTCACATCTGACTGCTATGATGTTATTCTCGGAGCAAATGCATGCAAATAATTATAACTTTCATTAATATATGGAATCCTTGGTGCTTTCTGTGCTTGGTTGCTATCAAGCAGAAAAAATACCCTAATTGAGGAACTACAGAAGATAAACCACAGCCTTTAAAATTGGCAGTGCTAGCTATTGTATATAAGCTGGGAGAAAACCCACATTCACTTGTATTGATTGTATCTAACGGGAATGAAACATCTGCAGGCAAACAACCAAACTCAGCACTAAGCACTCACAATTCAATCCTGAACTACATCTATTCTCTTATATTAATATATTTACTCTTAAAAAGAAACTTCAAGAACTAAAAGTTTTACATTTTCAATTATTTCAATAGCAAAGTTTAGATTCATTCCAATTTAATTGAGGAGAAAGTTGTTGGAATAAGCTACTGTTACCAATACAGACTTACAGATAGCGACTCTAATTGAGACTCGAAGTGAAACAATCATTAAGTGAGAAATAATGTGACCACAACTGAGCTTTCTGGCTAGAAATAGACAAGACTATTCAGTTTCATAGCTACAGCTTCTGTTTGTCCGCTAACTATAGTCCCGTTCTTTAGAATGCTCAAGTGCCTGCTTACTGTCTTTCACATATCAAAAGCAATATGTTTCCCAGAATAGAAATGTAGCTGGCGGCTCTCTCTAAACTCCCTCTTTAATCTCTCCACTCTGCAAGGTGGTTGGATAGGAAGAAAGCAAATAATTTCTGTAAGCAATCTTTCCTTGTCTGATCCTTCTTCCCCAAAAGATTGGAGAAGTAGGGGTTTCAAGGGAGTAAACTGTTTGCTCTTTTACACATCAAAAACAATGTGATTGCCTTGGTAGCAGGAAAGGGCCAGGCAAAGAAGAGATTGCCTACAGAAATCACTTGTTTTCCAGCCACCCTTGCAAAGAAGAGAAATTGAAGGGATTTCAACATGTTGCTTTCCATGTGCAGGAAATCAAAAAAAAATCTTTCTTGAAATCTGTTCAAGGGAAGAAAAAAAAATTCAGGCACAGGACAACATGTGCCAATAGTAATGTTGATCACACTTCTGAGGAACTGTTCCAATGGTCTTAAGTTGGCCATTAAGTTACCTTTTCAGCACTGTCATAATTTTAGTCAATGAAGAAGCGGTTAGTAAGAGAAGACTGCCTGCATTTTATATTCATTATAAGTTCAATGCATATTATCCATCCTTTCAAAAGATAAAGAGCCCATATTTAACATACATTAAAAAACCCACTCATACCTTTTTATTATGTGTTCATAGATCTGGGAAGGCATGATAGTAATGGTCACTACATTTCCAACTGTTGATAATATGTCTGCAATCTGGGAATCCTGTGTAAAAGTCATAAAATTTTATAAACCTTGAAATTGTTTTATAACCACAATGGTGAATAAAGTAGCTTATTTAGTAGTTTAAATAAAATATAGGCTAAAGATTAGTGTCAGATTATTTGAGAGATGAACGTTATCATTACATGAGCAAACTAACAGCAATAGAGAAAGCCATGCACACAGCTACAATTCAGCAGAAAAATGCAAATAGTTATTCCGGGAGGTGCAACAAGTACCAAAAGCAACAAGTACCAATTTTAAGGAATAATGTAAATAAATTTAATATGTTCCCAAACCAAAGGCAACAAACATTTAAGGCAATATGTAAAAAGATAGGGTTGTATATCATTACATAAGAAATAAAATTAATAAAATTATTAAAATTAATAAACACTTAGAGTAAAAATTTCACTTTGAAACTTGAACTGTTGACAAAAAAAGTGCAAAAAATGCACAAAATGACCATAGAAGTTAAGACAAGACCACAAGGGGATGGGCCCAGGGGAAAGATACTGCGTGACTAACGCATGGACCTTTGTTTCAGCTGGGAAAAGTAGCAAATCATAAGGCAGCTGACACCAAGAAGTTATAGCTTGCACGTGGAGTACCAAACAAATGAATACTAGGGCAAAAGTTTCTAATCAAAATGCATCAAGTACCAAATCCGAAGAGTTTCAAAGCAGTCGAGTTCCAAGGAACAATTGTATATTACTTACATTCTTACAAATGGTGTTTTTTGTTAGTTTAATTGATATAGGGTATCATATATTTACAGAAAACATCATTTACCTTCAGACCAATTACATTCTGTCCATTAATTTCACAAATGCTGTGTTCAGTAAGAAGTCCATTTCTTGCAGCAGAACTATCTTTAACTATTGAAGTTATTTTTCCATTTTTGAAAATAAAGCCAACATGTCCTGTACTGTCCTTGTGCATGATAATAGTCCGTTCAAAAGGCCTAGAAGAAAAATATTTATATTTCACTACTTATAAAATTTACCGAATATATTACTGAATAATTGTCCGCAATAAAATTAACTCCAAATTTACTGGTTGTGAAGAAGCATTTTCTTTTAAGTTAACAATATAGACAGTACAGATCTTACTATTAATATAATTCAGCTGATATACAATAATACTGCAAATTTACCTGTCTCGAATTATCATGGAAATTCTCTCTCCAGAAACTTGTTTCAATATTTTATGAGCTTTATCAGAACTCCATCCAGCACAATTTTCGCCATTTATTTGCAGAATCTGGTCTCCAAATCGCAGGCCAGCCAGTGCGGCTGGGGTGTTTGCCTGAACCAGCTGAACAAAGACACCCTAAAACAATAATGTTGGTAAGTTTAGGTGCGTGCACATATAATTCCTGTATACACTAAAAGGAGAAATATACTAAACAAATTTATAATTTTTTAAATAAGCAAGCCCCAAGTCTATTAACATTGCAATATTATAAATATTATATCCAGCACTCCCTAAAATTTTAATTCCAAAATACATATTTGAATTTGATAAAATTTAAGCTAATATTAGTTCTCTGATTATACTATTAATTGTACTACTCATGAAAGTGTTTAATTTTTTAAAAGTTAGCAATTTTTTTTTACTCATGAATATAAGCTTTTTTTCATTTTTAAAAATATTTTTGCTGTCCAACTCATATATATTGAAAGTCATGTAACAGATTAAGGGCTGAAAAATAAACTATAAAGAATACATCTTTGTGTAACAATTTATATCCCATTTTGAATTCTAGCATAACATTTATTATACATACATTGTCCACTGACTTAAGACGAAGTCCAATTTTTCCTTCCTGATCTTTACACAAGATCAGTTCACGGAGCCCCTGCTTAATTTCTGCCCGACGAATTCCAACATCATTTCCAGTTACTGGAGCTACCATGTAATCTGATGCAGAACGTCTTGCAACAAGCTATAGAGTACAAAAACATCCCCCCCACAAACAAATTAAAAATAAACACAAATCTTATTATCAGATATAGATCTTTGATGTAAATGAGTCAGTACTATGTGTTCTGTTCTGTTAATATTTTTAGCATCTATAAAACCACAGTTATGACAAAGACTGAAGTAAATTCAAGCTGAGCAGATACATCCACGGTTTTAATGGAGCACGTGTAAGGTTTTTTTTGTTATGACTTTTTCTATTATAGGGGAGATAATACAGTAAAAGGTTTCCCAGCTTTCTTTCCCTTTTTTCATGAGTAATTCAGTCCCTAAAAATCAGTAAAGCCCAAATGAATCCCTGTTCTCTGTTATGACACTTACCCCCTGTGAATTTGCAGGAACCATTGTCAGGTTTCTCTGAATTTCCTCATCATTCAAACTTATACCCATATACTGGGCAAGTTCAGGATACAGTTTAGGATATAAATCTGAAAAAAGTTTTTAAAAATTAACTATAATCTTGCTACAATGGTATTTTTGTCTCTTCAGTTTTACTTTTGGCAAAATCAACAGCATGCCTCATATTTCACTAATCTCATTCTTTGGAATTTTTAAAAACTTAACACACTAGTTGAAGGTACTAAATTCACTTACCTGAAGTTTATTTTCATACCACAACATTACATGGTCTTACACTGATTCTACACTACAGAAAATGGTTTTCTGCCTGAAAATACGACAACAGGTCACAAAATCTATACTGCAGTCCTTGTGTTCAAAATTCCAAACTGAATATAAACGTTTGATTTCTTTTTATTTGATTTCTTTTTATAACAAATGTGTATATATAAACTGATACTACTGTTCTCTGAAAAACAGTAAAAACAGTGTATTTCAAGTACATATTATAAAATATAAAACACCATTTAAGTTTTTTCTTCAAATTAAAACCTGCAAAATTCATTTCTTTTGAGATAAACCCAGAATTCATCAATAGATAGGTTTTCAAAGGTTAGAAAATAAATATATGCATGGATTATGAAAGTAAGATCACATTAAGAGCAAAACATATAACTATCAATTAAAACATTAAATCCTTCTACAATCAATGAAATTTATACAAAAGCATTTTTCAAATGCTTTCTTGTAGCAACTTACTTCCATCTTGTAAAATGGGTGCTGAAGCTTCAGATAGAATTGCTGGATTAGCTGGGTTTGAAGCAAAGGATGTCTGAGCCTATACAGAAATATAATTTTAAAATGTTATAAAGATTAAACTACATAAAAATGTAAAACATTTTAGAGTCAGATCTTGGTTAATGATCATGCATTAGCAACTGTTCAAAGTTACAGTAGTGCTGAGCATGAGAAACTTATGATTGATCTTCAAAGTCTGTCCATCCCAGCACCCCCATGATCACAATCTGGGCAGTTGACACTCAGTTTACACTTACAATGGTTGCAGGATCCCATGGTCATTTGTGATCTTCCTGCCAGTGTCTCACAAGCAAAGTCAATGGGAAAGGCAGCAGGGAAGATTACAAGTTGGTCTTGTTAAGTAAGTACATCTTTTTTTAGGATTTTGGGTTTTCAAGATTCTGGGAATTTTATTCTAGTGTACTTATGTGTTATAGTTAGAATACAGTATTGCAGGCTAACTTTGCACACAGCCAGGAATTCGATCCTGACCAGCTCAAGAGTGATCCAGTCTTCCATCTTTCCGAGATCAGTAAAATGAGGACCCAGATTGTTAGGGGCAATATGCTGGTATTTGCAAACTGCTCAGAGGATGCTGTAAAGCACTATGGAGCGGTATGTAGATCTAATTTTAAGAAGCAATTCTCCAAATAAATAACTAGATCTGAATAAATAGTAAGAACTTTGCCTTTTTATTTTATTTCAGTGCAGTCACAATTGATTGTTCTTTGATAAAAGTTATCAAATTCATATAAGCAAGATGGGAAGACAATAACTTGGACAAGGAGATTTTGATCAGAGAAACAGTGAGATAAAATGTTTATCCATCACATCTTAAAACATTAAAACATTTTTGAAGCTAAAAATATAAAGCTTAAAGCATGTCCCACCCTTTTTATGCATAGCTGACTATAATATCATTGTATCCAGTTTCCCCTTCTATTTGGCTTCTAAATGTAAAAATATTAGATGGTGGGCTTAACTACTGTAGTAGGCAACAAAAGCAGTGTGAACAAATGTGTTTACAATCTACTTCTATGTGTATCATGATACTACAATGATGATAGAGAGATAAGGAGATATAAAGGACCACCAGTTTATATGTCCACATCACAGTGAACTTTAACTTTAAAAAAATTAGGGTTCCTCCACTTTTCTACCAGGAATTGAAGCTGGTATAAATGGCCTTCCAGTATTGAAATTTTGATTCAAGATTACCCAGTCATCTTACTGACATTTAGACTTTAAACCCGGCCACTGGACATCTCATCTAATACTAATCCTGCAACAGAACTTTTGGGCAAAGTCTCAATGCAGTAAAAAGATCTCGTGCAACCTACACATTTCTCAAGAAAGTCATCGCCTCTCTCTAAATTTTCTTCCTGTTTTCTTGTTCTTATCTTATACTTAACACCAGTTTAGAGATAACGTTATATGGCACCTCTGTCAGTCTTTAAAATCACCTCTATTATTATTTATACTGATTTTATTGTTTTTCCATTTAGAGGAAGGTCAGTGCTAATAAAAGAAAAGTTTATTCTTTCCCCTGCAATACTACATTATTTCAAGAAATCTAGTTTTAAAGCTGCAAACGGGCCTTAGAATTAGCTTCCACAAGTAACCTGTGCCAGGATTACATGTCAGGAATGGGATGACCTACTCAGAACATTCAATCTAAACAATGCTTGATGAATTCATATCTCTGGTAACCCAGAAAAAATACTATCTAAAATTATTCAAAGGTATGGGGTTATTCAACCCCATTCTGCTCACCAGGCATAAACAGATTAAGAGAACTATTCACATCAATGTTCAGCTGAGCAATTCTAAATATGAAAATGTTCAATTTTTTAAACAGGATAACTAAAAGAGATTCAGAAAAAATGTGGGGTTCATGTCTCCAGATTATTTTGGTTATGCATATGATTAATCTATGCAATATAATTAATAAAACTTAATATTTATATCACAAATGCCATATTTTAAACTACTGTGATACTTCAGAAATCTCAAAAACCAAAACCCACAACGAAAGTTTATTATAAAATGTCATACCTGAATTACTTTGTCTACCTTCAGGTCTTCCAGAGAAGGATACAGTGACATTTTTACTGGAAGAAAAAAGATTTTAAATAAGCAATTTAAAAATTTCAATGTCCAAGTACAGTTCAAAAAAGTTATCAACAGTCACAATTTGATATTCATCATTTTTTATTTCTAAATTATTAATTTATATTTATAAAAAATTACTAAATTATATATAGTTAATATTGAGTAACATGGAGCACAGTGGATCACATTAGCATGCTGGGTTGTATATTAGCCAGCCCATGTTTGTGGCTCAAGTACTGTCTTGGATGGGTGAGCTCCCTCTCCTGCCAGACCCAAAAGGAGTCCTCATCCATGAAGCCCTGGGCAACAGTGATGTCACCCTCTATCCTTTCAACCCAGAAGTCTCTTAGTACTTTTGATATGAGTGAGATGTGATCTTGAATAACAATAACTTAAAATATCCATGCTTTATATGTTTAAATTTAAGCTGAAAAATTAACAGTTACAACTCATGCTCATGAGTTACAACTCATTCACGGTAATAGAGTATCTGGGGTGCAACACTTTTAAGTAATTGATTTGACTCATTCCAGCACTTTCATTTACTTCTTTGAGTCATGTCATTCAGACCTCTGTTTACAGTATATAGCTAATTTTATAAATAAACCATTCCCAATATTCACATCTAGGAAGTGCTGGGTTGAACCTGAGTTCAATGCTGAGTAAATCAAACAAGTACAGAATTAATACTTCCATCATTTTAAATTAACTATTTTCAATATTTTTTTCTAAAAATGAATAATATTGTATTATTCTGACCAGACTGAAGCAATGGAGAAAAAGAAAACATATGTGCATACATGAACATATGTATATCATTCAAAAAGTACTGCCCTGGTATTTCTGCTGGCTAAGTTAATCTCTATCTGGGCTTGCTCCAACTCTTCCCTCAAGTGCTGGTTATTTGAAAAAGAAGAAGGAACACAGATTCTTCAAAGTTAGATCCTATTTGACACAGCTTTCCAAATACTTCAAGAAAGCCAACAAGCATAGAATTAACAGTAACTTAGTAGGTATAATTTAAGAGGATTATGTAAGGCTTTGATAAATTCTTCACCAAAGCTCCTGATGATATACAGTGGCTTTGGGAAGTCTCTTACAGGCTGAAAGACAGAAAGGGGGAGTTGAGGAGAGAGAGTTCTTAAAATGAATATAAACATTGGAATCTCCAATAAGTTCAATTCTTTTTAACTTGTTCCTAACCAACTTAGAGTTAGGAATGAACAGCCTAGTTTTCTTGGGGGAAAACCCAAATAACTGAGCAATCAGGTCAGTTAGGCAACATGAACCTCAAATCTCAGATTTTGGACAACAATGAAAATACAGGAAAAGGTTTTGTTGCTTTATTTTATTGCTGGTTAGGGTCCAGAAGACTTAATGAAGGATGTTTTTGGCTTGTATAACATAAATTGGTTATACTTTCCAAACTAATTGAGAGGCATGGAAAAAGTGAAGTATGTTCAGCAAAAAAAAATCCTAACTTTATATTCACTGAATTCACACTGACAATGACTGACCAAGAAATGGTCTTAGGTTTGTAGTAAATTGCAATCTACTAACTGTACAAAAAGGATAAATTGTACATTAGAAGGCTAAATTACTACCTGTTACAAAAAAGGGTAAATTGTACATTAGAAATTATCAGAAAAAGAAATGAAAATATGCTACTTATTATTTCAGTTATTTTTCAGTTACAGACATTATAATAGACATGGGATAATATGCTCATTTTTATAATATCTAAAGGAAAATTTTCACTGGATCCCTTTATTTTAGCAAGAAAGAAGAAACAGTGAATATATTAGAGATGTATAAAAATACTTTATGCATCATGTAGAAAAATGAACAAGTCTTTTAATGACCCTGGGCCTGTCACTTTCAGCCCATCCTACCTCATGTGACTATGAGGGAAAACAGGAACAGAGAACACCCTGTATACCAATCTGAAGTCATGTACAAAGGCTGTATATGAATTTTAAAAAGTAAATAAATACAGGGTTTGCCTAACAAACTGAACAGAGAACAGACTCAACATACAGTGGGGCAAAAAAGTATTTAGTCAACCACCAATTGTGCAAGTTCTCCCACTTAAAAAGATGAAAGAGGCCTGTAATTGACATCATAGGTAGACCTCAACTATAAGAGACAAAATGAGAAAACAAATCCAGACAATCACAGTCTGATTTGGAAAGATTTTTTTTGCAAATTATGGTGGAAAATAAGTATTTGGTCACTTACAAAAGTTCATCTCAATACTTTTGTTATATATCCTTTGTTTGGAAATGACAGATATCAAACGTCTGTAAGTCTTCACAAGATTGGCACACACTGTTGCTGGTATGGCCCATTCCTCCATGCAGATCTCCTTTAGAGCAGTGATGCTTTGGGGCTGTCGCTCCAGGACTTTGAAATGCTTCTTACGAAGCCACTCCGTTGCCTGGGCGGTGTGTTTGGGATCATTGTCCTGCTGAAAGACCCAGACACGTTTCATCTTCAATGTCCATGCTGATGGAAGGAAGTTTGCACTCAAAATCTCACAATACATGGCCCCATTCATTCTTTCCTGTACATGGATCAGTCATCCTGATCCCTTTGCAGATAAACAGCCCCAAAGCATGATGTTGCCATCCTGTGCTTCACAGTAGGTATGGCGTTCTTTGGATGCAACTCAGCATTCTCTTTCCTCCAA